CAGAATACGGAAGAAACCTGAAACTGCCTGCCTTTTTTTCCGGACAATAATGACCTTCATGTTGGTCATATGATAGAATATCAACAAGTAAACTTCTTGGAAAAGGGAGTGCATTAAAATTTTCAATTGATATTACTTAAAAAGCGCTTGTGCAATCAAAATTTCGTCACTTTTTTTATAAGGTCAACGAAGTAATATATAGGAAATGATTCCTTCAAAGAATGATGTGTCAAAAAGAATAAAAAACGTATGCCTTCATCTAAATGACACCAAAACACTGACCATTTTCACCCCAATCGGTATTCCACGAATTCGCAACCAGCCAATAGGGCACGCCTTGTTCCACTCCCCATCCAAGCATTTTCACTGCATGACCGCCACCAATTTTACCACCTGTATGCTGAAAAACTTCGTCTTGAATACGTGTTTCGCTAGGCTGATTCTTAATTAACCCAATAACTACTACCTCTGAGCAGACAGATCACATGTGAGACTGCTTCACTGCAAGAAGAGAAATGTTGATGGACATTTGATTAGGGCCGCATAGTTTCACGTATTGCGTCGTGAGTAAGGAAAAAACCTAGAGAAGAGAATGAGTCGGGACGAAATTTATAGTCTGGGACCCTGAAAATGCGATTCGCTCGAAAAAAGTTAAGGGCGAGGATGGGCTCTCCGAAATTCTCCATTTCCCGCAACACACTAGTTTTGTGTCTCTTAAACGCTAATGTTATTTATCAGCAATGTAACATTAATCGTTTTGACACCATTTCATTATCAGTTAGGTCGATGGTAATCGAATCGTCTGTTTGTTGGTGGTCGTCAACTGCATGTTTTGCCATTAGTCAACTATGCTGACACCATTTCACCACCAAAATTCAACCAAACCTTTTGAAACGGTCACTTGTTATTGCAGTGGTCTAAGCAATATTGCTGAGTGTCTATCGTTTGTAGTCTCCGAATTCCGGTGGCCATTGACTGAAACCTAAGGCAACATATCCGTCGATGGATAACGACGACCGAATGTCACTGCCACCGACTGTTGCTCAACAAACTTTAATCATCACTGAGTAAGCAGTCAACATACCACATAAATGCCACTGTCGTACGCCAAGAAATCATCGTATACTTCAAACGCAACTTCAACCGGACCGTGAGTAAGGATTTCCTTCTGAATGGATTCCACATCATCCTCAACACCGTACGAATCACTGCCTGAATTTGTCATACCTTTCAACTGAGATGCCGAAAGTAAATGAAGATGCACAGAAAATTTTGATTTTAATCATTTAATGATTACATTGGGTGAGTTAAAACAGAGGTGGGCAATAGTGCGTAATTCCGCTACTCTGCTAGTTAGCGAAATAGCAGAATGGCTGTTTCGCTGGTTAACGATAGTGCACCATTGCTAACCTCTGATTCTAATCATTTAAAGATCCGTCCATTATTTGCAGCCATCAATTCCATTCTTAACGATACGTGTAAAACATTATTGCAACAACTCATTGTACACATTGATGTTTTACCCAAACTTCTGTCAAATTATGTGCCTAGGTACGTGCATAATTCTTTGAAAAACTGGTACAGACTGTACCTGTACAATTTAATGAAATTGTGATAATCTATTAAAATTATAATTTGACATCCGTACAGTATGTGCACGTGTTTTGCTGATTTAATTTTTTATAATACAATGCATATGAAGTCACAGAAGCAATATGCAGGAATACAGTAGTTTCTCCCAAAAATTTGCTTTCACTGTACCTGTGTTTGTTCTACAGTTCTAGATTTCTTAAGAGAGTGTACCTGTACCAGTACAGGTACAGGCATAGGTGCGACAGAAAAAACTGCCGTAATTTCTGAGTATATCACCAATACGAACCGTAAAATTTATCGTCTTCATACGATCTAGCCGTGTAAGTGCTGACACATTTTTTCTCGCATTTCGGCGTTGGATACAGATCGTGTTTGCACGGGTCATAATGCGTTTTATTCGAATGATGTTCACACGGTGGGAACGGATATGGTTTACAGCCTTCTTTCAGCGTGAAATTACTTCCAGTCACGATTCCCTGTTTAACCCAGTATTTCCACGCAGCCGTCGGTTCACCTCCATCACAACTTAATCATTCATTTTATTTTATTCACCTCATAATTGCACTTGCCCAAAGTATCTGAATAAGTGGTCAAGGAAGGATTCAACAAGAACGATGCTTTTTCTAAACTTCAGTCTATCTTCGAAGAAGATGATAGCGAAGAACGAGGAATGCAATATGTTGAAATAACTGAAAAATGTATACCCATTGTGAGTTTCGATAACCACTCAAAACATAGTTGTTTTTCATCCATATGAACAAAATTTATAGTATTTGTGGGAGAGGAACAATAACTTTCACCAAAAACACTGTTGAAATATTTTAAGAAAATATTGAAACTTTAAAGTCAACCTACCCAAAACCACAGCTATGGCAGCAACTGAGAAGGTCGTCAGCAGAGAGTGAAACTTGAATTTTTCCCTTTGAAGCAATACAAATACGATCCGACATTGCTTCTACAGCACCAAAAGCCCAGCACGAACCTAGACATGCAAAAGGTTGGACATTTCAATCATTGCTGCACCATTCTGATCTCGCAATTACCAATTCGAAAAGGCGAGGGGATGACGAAAAGCTCATAATCAGGCTTTCTTTAAAACTAGTTTTTGATCATTCAATGCGTGAGTTTTCTTGAGTATTCCGGGAAAAATTTTCAACTTTATATCAGTCAGTGCTTCGTGTTGTTTAAAAATTGAATAACTGCGTTCACTGTATTTGCTCAGAAATACAGATCATCAATATGAGAAGGATTGATTGCTTTATGTGATTACCGCAAGCTGATTGATCGCGAATGTTTTTCAGTGAATTACAATAGTCCCAGTGCTCTCGAGCATCGAACTGTTCCGGAATGTACATATCGAGTCGACGCGTTGGCGACAGATGCTTCTTATCTTCAGCTGATAAGTAAACGTGCTTAACACCCATCAAACCATACTGCACTCGACGTGAATAGTCCGCAAATTTTGTGTTCAGCTTCGCCTATTCAAGTAAGATCTTTGATGAGATTTTTGACTGAAAGTCGCCATCTTCGCAGATATGACGGAAATGGAGAAGTCGTTCTGTATATGACCGAAGAGAACTAATGAATAGACATTGCACGTGATTACTGGGTTATAATTAATAATGGTTCTAATTTATGAAATCGCTAAGGCATTTAACTCAGCCAAGAAAGGTTGCAATCCATGAGCATTTCGTAATAGTTCTATAATACAAAAAACGAGTGGGGTTTCTCAAGCCAGATAGATCATCTGGTGTAGAAAAACCTAAAGTGGAATAGACATGAGGGTAGCCTTTATGCGTGATCTACACAATTTTTTGCCTGCTATGATGACCTCAGTATATGAAAAACGGAAAAAATACAAAAAAACAAATGCAAATCACACAGAAGTCGGATCTAATTCCAACTCAATATTTCAAGCACAGAATGCCATCTAATCGTAAGATGAAAAGTACTTTAAAAATCTTCTTGAATTGTAACAAACGAATGAATATGAGCAAAACAAAATTAAGAATGTATTCTAAAAATGCAATCAAAAATACGATCATCGTTTCACCTTCCATAATTTCTGATGACTGTTCACATAATCAACAAGCTCTTGTCCGGTCAGCTTCTCGGCTTCGTAACTGATTTTGCGATCTCGAAATTCATCCAGCACTGATCTGAATTTGTTGACTTCGAACGGTAACAAATGAAAATTTCATTGCTTCATCAATAATAATAAAAAGTTACCTAAAAATGAATACGGTGTATACTGACGGAAAAAATTGTGACTGCTCTAATTCGGTGTTGTGATCGTCAGTAGATCAGTTTAACCCCTTTGTCGATTTTGAATCATTTTTTTTCAATTGACCACAATACTCTAAGTCAGCAACTCATATGTATAACTGGATTAATGCAGGCAACCTTACTAGCTAGACCTCTCCCAATAATGCAGGTAGTCTCCTTTTCAAAATCGAGGTCAGTTTTTTCAGTTTCAAGATTTGAAATTTGAGCTTCAATGGCTTTCTAGGTATCTAGATATTGGGCCGCTCGAGCCTGGTTAACATCATGAGATTTCCAGCATATTGAGTGCAGTCTTAATGTGATTAAGAGAGGCTACATGATGTAGTTAGCAATTGGTTGGCAAGCAAAATTGCGTTCACTAAAATACTATTCAATATTAGCGAAATTGCTGACTGTGTACATAACATGATTTTCCTTTATATTTCCCCCTTGAATGTTTAACAACGCCTCCAAAATAGGTATTTGCTCACAACGAAGTGATCACAATGATACAAGCGATGTTTTAATGGTGAAAACCAGCACTCTTCATTGTGCGCAGCAATCAATGAATTAATTCTTGGGGAAAAGTGTTTCTGCGTCTAAAAGTATTTACTCATGGGACATCTTAGCATGTAATAATATCGTATGACAGCAATGATGGGAAGCGATTGTGACAAATGAAGGTCTGCCAAAATAGCGTTTGAAATGCCCATTTCATCAAGCGGCTTTAACTGATTTGGCTGATGAAATGGGAAATTCCGATGTTCGCTAACAATAAGCAGCCTCAAAATGGGCCGTCTGCCTTATGGCCAAATGAGGTAACGAAGCTGAACAGCGTAAGAACCACTGGAATACAGGAATGACTGTTCATCATAAAACCGAAGGTATTGATGAGGATGAAGGTCTGTCAATTGGTTGGTCATATCAGATAAAAAATATGAAAGATTGGTCATATCAGATAAAAAATCAAAATAGTAGAATGAAATTGCATTGCATTGCTAACCTTCTACCCCCGTAGTACTGATTCGGTTTGTAGTCATCAGAATTATCAGTTGATCGTGATCGATGACCATGATGGTGGTGAAGTGGATGAGTGCGATGTGCGTTTGTTATCACAACACAAACAACAGCCAATAAAAGCACACACTTCTGCAATTAAAAACAACATCTTTAACGAGAAGGCGACACAATCGCGCAACCTCACGAACACATCCATAGCTTCTTTGACTGATACTTTCGCCTGGTGTATTATGCTTTTGGCAGTGTGATTTTATTGAGTGCGTTTTATGGACCCTTTAAGATTCTGTAGAATACATCTATCTCATCCAGCACCGAACGCAGGCATTAAAAAAGCGATACAGATCTCGAGATTCGTGGGGTCGGCATTTCCGGTATTCACACCACAAGTCATTTTAAGTGAATTTGGTAGTATATCCATCACCACTGGAGCATGAATCGTATCCATTTTTGTTGTTTTTGTATTTTTTGCTGAATTTCTTAAGCTTTAGTGAGTAAGTTGTTAAATAAATTGTTTTCTGAATAATTACGAACACACTGCCTCAAAAAGAATGTGTTGAACAAGTCACGTTTCTATACCTCAAAAGTTGCTTCTCAATACCGTTATTGCATCGGTATTGAAAACGATACCGGTATTAATATCAATCTGGCATTGAGAAAATCGTTGATATTTTGCAAGCACTAATTTCACCTGCCAAATTGTGCCCCTTACAAAATGCCCATCGAAATTATGAAGGTTTTGTGGTGCTCATAAAGCAGTACAGGTTTTCCAACGGGCCTACAGTCTAAAACGCTTGCTGACTTCTGATTTGCTTCTAGAAAACTTTACAATCGACTAAAATCAATCAGAATCTCATCTCGTAAGCCAACATCGGCCCTCGCTTAAAACTGATGCTGACAACAGATTCGTTCAGAAAATTCTGAAAGCAAGAGAGTGAAATCAGCGCAATGTGCTATGCAAGGTCATATAGATCTCACCCAGAAATTCCAACTCAATTATGTGCACTAGCAGTGGTGATGACGTCCGACCGACGGTCGGTCAGAAAAATCCGACAATTTCGCTCGGGATTCTGACATTCGGATACCGACCAAACAGTTTGGAAGTCCGGTCGGAATTTCGAGTGTCGGAATGTTAAAATGTGAATTCGGTCGGATTCCGACTGAACAGTTCCGATAGTTGGTCGGAATTCCAACTGTCAGAACGATGAAATTTCACGTCAGTCAAATTCCAACCGGCGTGAAATTTCGCTCGGATGCCTTCACTAACCAGCAGCTAATGCTTCCAATAATAGGAGAAATGCAGAAATTTCGAAATAAAAATCAGTGAAGATGTTGTGAATAGGATGGAAACCAATGGAAACAACATACCATTTCGAATGAGAGTCGACGATGAAACGAGTTGTGAATGCGTTGTGTTCAAGTGCAAATGAACACCTCTGACACAGCAGAATCACTCGTTAAACTCTCTTATATTCAGTTTCTTTTCTATCGAGCATATGATGAAGATTTCGTAATGTATTTTATTGATTCGCACCTTATCGCCTTGTTACTCTTGTTTATCATTACTTACCATTATCTTATCAAACTACCTTATCATTAGGAACCGAATTATGAATGTGTATCAAACTGCCTTCATTCTATCTTATTTCAGTTGTCCAATATTACTTTCAAGAATGCCTTATCAGAAAGCAATGAATACATACTGCCTTGTATAACCTAATAATTTATCGCCTTGTCAGTAGATAGGACCCAATTTATTGCCATCTGAAAACTCAGCTGATCACAAAACTCAAAAATTGTGCAGTCAATAACAAAAATGTCATTTGCGAATGTCACTCACGCATACATTTGAAAATGTCATTTCAATCAAAGTAATTTCATCTTTCAACGGTTTTGAGGGAGCCATATTGAGAATTGAAGAAATTGACAAATGGCTGTTGATTGGTTTTGTTGTTATGCTTCTTCTATAGTTGTCGAATATTGCTTTGAAGAATTCGTTTTCATTTGTCATCAAGATGCAAGGGAATGCGAGAGAATGAAAGGATTGAACTCACTTTGGAGGAGAGGAATCTGTTATGGTAAAATTTCAAACTTGAGTAATTAAGCCTTCATGGAAGTATAATAATAATGAAGAACAGTGGGAATCATCACATTGAATCGTATCATTTTCAACAAGCGTATCAAATTGCAATATAGCTAATATAATAGCATCTCGAATATTGATTCTGATCAGTCAAAAATCAAGTATGATAACCACGACAATGAGAGAACATCAGAATGTACGTATTGCAACATCATTAGAGCATAAATACATGGAAATGAAAATCAGATGGTGTGTTTGGTCGCTTCACCTTTATTCATTCTATCTTATTCTAAATGAGATCTCCACAGAGGTGACATTTCTTTATATTCTACGTTAACAACGTTTAGAGTGTCTGTCTGGATTCCCATGATCTTATTTTTCACTGTGGTGTCATATTGCTAAATTTAACATCTGCAAATTCTTTGTACTCTATACAGTATCATCCATTCATGTAATATTTTTAATTATATGTTTTTATCAAGCATATTTTTATTATATATTTTCCTATTACATATGTTGGAATTCCTATTAAAATTATACTTCACATAAATCTTATGTGTGCATCCAAAAGGATAATATGGAGTGGAAGAACGAGGTGTAGAAGCCAAATCGTTGCCTGCCTCGAGCTCGACATCTTTATCGTTAATTTCTAGGGGTTTTTCATGCTTGAAAAATTCAAGGCTGAAATGAGAGAAAAACGTAATTTAGCTCACACGAACACTTCTTATTCAAATCTGACGATTGATTTTGCGGGCTTCTTTCATTACCGTAAATATTCGTAGGAATATCAATCCCGACAAAATTAAGTTATGAATAAAGGTTTGTTAAAGCATATTTTTTCAACGATTTCTTGGCAACTTTACCGAAAACTCGACACCAAAGTGTTGTCCAAAGGCACTCCGGAAACTTCCGATGTCAAATGATAGTACAATAATTTTACGGATCGTCAATGTGAATTTCCCTGCTTTGGTGTTTAGTGAATCAATTGTTGATGGGACCCAAGTATGCGTAAGAAAAGCTGCCTTTGAATTTGTCTTTGCATTGCAATGCCTTTGAGCATGTCTCTTCTTTCAAAAGATACTGAAGTCGTAATATTGATTGCTTTCATTCATCAACACTTCTCAGCATCGATTGTATTGGCTTGACTCGAGGATCACTGTATGTCAAACTGCTTGCTTTTGTTACCCGTGGTCAGATCCTTGCTAAGGTTCACAGTTAGAGATCTTCTCCCTCTAATGTGAAATTACTTTCGCCAGTAGCCTGCTAACTTGATACAGATGGAAACAATCATGACATCCAGTAAATGAAACTCTCAAAGACCACATCTGGACACCTTTCAAAGCCAGTCTT